CGCATCCAGACAGACTGATGCCATGGGAGAAGTTGGCTGGCTTTAAATTGGCAGGAAGCAGGTCATCAACCAGAATGTTAATCCAGGTTTTACGTGGGAAAATATTGGGTGAGGCTGGCTCACTCAATTCATTTTAGGAATTATCCCTGCTATAGCTGGTAGGTTAAGGTGGGATAGAAGGGCGCGGTAACTGACAGTGTGAGTCCATCTTTCTGGACTGCTGAATGTGTGTTTCAATGTGTTGTGCTGTCCCAACGCACCTTGTGTCTGTCTTAGATCAGGCTGAAGAATTTAAACCTTTAGGATGGCAAGGGCCAGTGCTCGGGGATGAGGAATAGGAAAAATGCCATTTCTAATTGTACAGTGAGAGCAGGGATTTTGAAAATGGGCTCTTTTTAAAAGCATTTTATATCACTGGCCTTTTAGAAGCCATGCATTTCATTCATACGGAATCCGTCACAGATCCTCACATTTAATTGCACGGATGAAGGGGAAGGATCAGTTCTGATGTTAGAGATTGCGTTTCCCCATCCACATGGTATATTCAAGAGAGTAATCAGGTTCTGTATATTCCTGGGGCACCGTGTGGTTTATTTTTAGCACTAAAAGCAAACACTGCCAAAGAAAACACCTTTTTAATCCAGCTTTGCAATTTTCATGTGACGGGTGAATGGAGACACATAGTTGTTTGTGGTTTCCCTGGCTTACGACTGGTTTGGTTTTGTGTCCCAACTTGATATGAGGCAAGAGGAATTAGTAAAGGAGGGAAAGCAAGCAGGGAATTGGCTGAACCACTATGATAATTTTCCTCCAGCTTGAACAACACAGTTAAAAGATGGCTTAGCATAATGTTGGGACCAGAGCCAGTGTCTCCCGAAACGCATGTGTCCAATCTCATTGTGAGCGCTCAACTAGACCTTCCCTTCCATCACATCCAACCACGATAAGGCCAAGAACTGGACCACTTCTACCCAGTGTCCTACAGAATCTTATACAACCAATCACTTATATTAACGATGCATAGGAAGCAAGGTATTTATTTCTCCCCCTCCCCTAAGCATCTAAGTCATTTCATTCAGATTGACTGTTTAACTCGGAGTTAATTCTGCTGACTGTTTTGAGGAAAAGAGTTTGGAATGGGTAGCACCTTATAAATCTTTAGCATTTGAAAGGGCGGGGTGCAGATCAATGTCAGTGTTTGTTGAGTTGGTCCATGGACTTTTTGATATTAATGCCTACATGTATGTTGTAGAAATTCTCTAGGAAGTCTTGGGAGGATTAAACTTGAGGGAAATGAACATCATGGTTGACCTACAAAGACAAATCTTTAGTTCAACCCCAGGCACTGAGGAAACACAAGCACCTTTATCCAGCCTTGCACTTTCTGTACATCTTTACAAGCTAAAAGGCTGGTTGGCCGACAGATGTACAGTCTAACTTAAATTGTATATACTAGCTGTGTACAAAGGAAAAAAGAACACAACGGGGGGACAGAAAGCAAAGGTTTAAAATGAATAGTGAATTTATTTTGTACAATGTCAAATATAGATAACTTTTTAAAAATGTTCCTATTCATAAAGTATTTTGTAAAATGGGAAAAGAGGAGGCAAGAAAGTGTCTTACTGGGATGGGGGGAGAAACCAGCAGTCCTTGACTGGAATCTTCCCATCCTTGTTAAATCAAGTCCTGGGTACTTCAGCAGATTTGTACATATTATTTTGAAAGAAAAATAAAACTCTACTTTTAAGAAGTCTCGCTGGGTGGCTGATGGTTCATTGACTACTTTCAGCATTTTGTCACGAAAAGTAAAGAGGTATGTGGGTCATATTTCATTCCAAAGCAGAAATCAAAGTGCTTATTTTTAAAAGTAGCTTAGAGTGGTTGAGCGGAATGCATTCCTGGCAAATTCGTTCTCATAAACATTTGTTATACTGGAAACAAAGAAGTAAACTAGTTCCATACCATAATAATATTTATGAAATTTTCTTAAGGACAATAATATATACATGTGTATTTGTTTATAAGACAATTCAATCCTAAACTTTAAAGAGAGATATTTTTTAAGAGATATTTATCTCTTGAGATAAATATATATATATATTTATCTCAAGTAATTGTAGTGGTCTACTGGCAAACAGTACTATAAAAAAACAAAACATACATAATTTTGCATTTTTATCACCTTGTTGAAAAAGATGCTATGTCCGTCTAGATTTCTTTCCCTTTATAAACACTTTTTATCTTTCAGATGTATTGTTCATATAGTAGCCGTGAATGGCAGAGGAAGAAAAAAAAAATTTCCTGAATTTTTGTATGCGGTACTATCTCCATATGTTATGAAAATACTTTCAAACTGGGTAAGGATTCTTGTATTAGATCACCCAGGTCCAGGTCCAGTCACTTTCTTTAAAGCTGGCTCTTTATATGCCTGGTACTCTTATATTCCTTAGATGTGTTAATTAGAAGCACATCGAATTGGAGAAAGCTGGTTTTGGCAGATCAGGAAACGACTGGATTTTGAAAGATATACCTGTATGCATCTGGCAAAGGCCTCATGCCACCATTCTCAGTTGCGGTGGCATTAAAAAATAGGAGCGCTTTTAAGCTTAAAGGCTGCAAAGCTTGGCTTATTTTACCAAAGCGCTGCTTTAGATTAAGGTAAATTGAGAAAAGTTTTAAAGGCAATGGAGTTTTTAAAAAATTCCCATTGAAGACTTCAGAAGTCTTTGAGAAATAAATTCGAGTGAATTTGAACGATTTTTGCTCCATCTGAATAGAACCTCACAGTTCTATTTTCCAATGGGAATGAGTTAGCTTCAGCCTCACAATCCATCTTTTCACTGAGGCTGGAAGGACTCAACCTTTGATTCTCCAGCCTCCCTTACTCTTGACCCATAATTCACTTCCTAGGATTTAAGTAACTGCTAGATCCTGGCTTAGCATTAACCATAAAACGTTGCAGAGCATCCATCTGGGCAACACTCGGAAAAGAGTTTTCTGTGATAGCATCCAACTTCCTTACTAGCGTTCATCACATTTCACTAAACACCTTTGTTATTTTGGGCCACATGAAATGATGGTCTCCATCCAAAGAGGAAAATGATAAAGGAATGATTCAAATAGCTGCTTTTTCCAAGTCCCTTCAGCATTGTACTTATGGAGTAAGCAGCTGATTTTGGCATTTTTGTCCCTATTTTTTTGTTAGCTTGTCTAGATGGTTTCCAGGGGGAATCTCAGAATCTTACTGTGCCCAGACTTTGAGAAAGACAGCACTATGATGGAGCTTCCCAACTTGTAAATTGAACCACATCAACGTTTTTGATGTTGAGCAGAAGAATTGTGCAGGAGACATTGGCACACTTGCAAAACTTTAACGCTACCAGCCAAGAAAGCTTCATGTGAGGCATGTAATGCCTTTGAAGAAAAGAACCAGATTTTGAAGAAATATATATTTTAAAAAATTCTTGGCCCCCATTTATAGGAACAACTTTCCTTAATAGGTGTCCTAAACTGGTCAAAAATCGTGCCCTCAACGCACTAAGCAGACCTATATTCCAAGATTAAGAAGAAATTCTTTGCAAAAATTGCCAACTTCACCCTATAAGACAACATAGCAAAACAGTGGCCTAAAAAGTGGTAACTTGGAAATCTGCTGCTGTCAAGGAGACCATTTAGTTTTTTCTTCCAAGTTGCCCTGTGTTGTTGGATGTGGCTTAAGTCTAGTGTACTAAAATGCAAAGATTAGGTGCAACTGTGCTTACTTGACCCCACAAAAATAAAAATAAAACCACACAAACCACCCTGCTATTAAGGGAATTGAGCTAAATCCTCAGTATGAACTTGAAGCTCAACGTTCCCTTCTGTTTCTGAGTGTTCTACAGAGAGGAAGGAGAAGTGGGGCTAAGTGATTACCATACACAAGCTCTTGCTTTTAACTGAGCAGCTTTAGCATTTTCTAACTTGGCTTTGACATCTACTGGTTTCTCAAAAAATCTCACCAAGGCAGGTTCGTTTAGTAAAGAGGCCAGGATCTGCTCAAAAGCAAACGACCAGCCCTCACCGGCAGGGCTGGAGATTTGGGATCCTGCGCTATCAGTCTGCGAGGCCGGTTGTGCTGTAGGACCAACCATGGGAGACGTCACCCTTTGGGCTGGGGAAGTGGGGCTCTGGAGCTTTCGTCCCACCTCCTCCATCCTCAGCAAGAGGCTGGTAACTGTGGCAATAGCACGAAAAAGGTGCTCTTCTTCTGGATCACCATGGAATAAGTTATACAACGTCTTGGAGAACTGGATGAATTGGGACTGGGGAGGGAAAAAGCAGAGTCATTTTTCATTTTCAGGACAAGGGTATATGTGTGTGTCAGTAGAACAAGTAATGCCTGCAGTAGCTTTTTAAAAAAAAATATGGCCTCTTGGCCAGACCTCCCCACCAAATGCCCTGAAGATGTATTGAACAACAACCTCCATGTTCTCCAAACTTCATGGTTCATCTGGAAGGAGTTAGGAGTTGTAGTGCACCATACCTGAAGGTCTCCAGGTCAGAGAAGGCTATATTTTGATGTCCTGGTTGTCAGCAATATCCACCCTACTTGCATTAATGGGGGAAAAACTCCACTAGAACAAAATACGCGGGTTTGCTTCCAGGAGAGTTCTCACCTGGTTCATCCGGGGCAAATCCTTAATGCTTTCTTCCTTTTTAAGGATCTCATCTTGCCACTGCTTCAAGTAAGCCTGGATGTCCACTTTTCCTTTCCCTGTTTGGGAAGAAGTCAAATTCAGAAGAGAATGGGTGAATTGTGCTGTCTCCTGAAGACCCCTGCTAGGGAGCAAGACCTGTTGGATAACTTTGGAGCATTTACAGTTTCCAGCTGAAGCCTCACCATGTCCCACTGGGAATCAAAAGATTTAACTTTAGCTAGGCCAGGCTTCTAGATGTGAAGTGATGCAATTTGCAAAATCACTAAATACTTTCATATTTCTGCCATTCTAAATGCCAACCTGCCCTGCAACTCTCATACTTTATTCTCTTAATATCAGGAAGCGATGTTAAACCATGCTTTCTTGTTAACCCCAACAAGCTTGGCTTCTCTTTCCTTATTTCCTCCAGTGCAGCTTCAAAAAGACCGCCAACTATAGTACATTGGAAGGAAAAGGTAACATATGCAAACCAAGCCATGGTCAACCTCAACTCGGATTCAAACAGTTACATTTCTTAAAAACTGGGCCTGCTGGGAATCCACCAGTCTTTAAGACAGAACAGACCCAGAGTTCAAGGTTGACTCAAACCTTACACCATCTGACACTTTCATGATGGAGGACTGCTCTCGATTGTACACCTCAAATCCTCTGGCTAAACCCAGGTCAGCTACCTTTTTCAGGACTTGTCTTCAAAACATCTGCATCCTCTTTGTCTCCAGGTGAAGAAACTAGAATAAAAAAGAAGAGGGGAAAAAGAAACACTACTGAAAAGTCCTTGACACTAAACAGATTATCCAGCCAATAGATGAGGACTGTTTACTTTGATTGTCTATAGCAGTGTTTCTCAACCTGGTCAACTTTAAGATATGTGGACTAACTCTCAGAATTCTAGGAGTTGGTCCACACATCTTAAAGTTGACTAGGTTGAGAAACACGGGTCTACAGCAAGAGAATGAATTTTCCCCATCTGAGATCCTTAATTAGAGATACTAGGAATTGAACTTGTACATGCATAGCAAGCTCTCCATCACTGAGTTATGGCCTGGTCCTCAGTATCACACCAACACTGCCAACATGTCCACCAACACTTCTCTAAGTGCTTGCAATTTGCATTCTTTTACTTAAGAGAATGGATCCTGGGGTTGTTGCAAAGGGTCAACTCCACTTTAATTTCCAGAAGAGCTTCCAGGGGCTTTCTTAGAAAATAAAACTACGTGTGTCTGCAGCTCAGTCCTTGGGACACATGCCTATCAGCCTAGACAAGGGATAAAAATACTAGTGTATTAAACTATGCAGATTTTTTTGCAGAGACAGTACAAATATCAGTGCACCCAGATCCTTAATTTCAGGTGTGAAATGTCTTCTTCCCCAACCTTCTCTTAGCTCCTGCTTGTCTAAAAGATCTCAGATGGGAGAGGAGAAATGATAGCAATGGCAACAAGAATTCTTTATAGAATTTTGCTGCACTTAAGCCTTTGATCAGACCACAATCATCGCTGCATTAACAGTATTAGAAATTGCTCTCTGGTGTGAAGTGACTTTTTCGCTGCCTCCTTTCCTACCAGCTAGAAGTGAAAAGCAAAAACAACAACAACCAACATCTTCCCTTACCACTCAATTGACTAAAGTGGATCAGTTCTTCTTTAGAGAGTTGAGCCCCTTTCAAAGGGCTCAGAGATTCCACTTCGGTAAAAGCTGCCGAAAGAACAGAGGGCGAGGAGACGTTGGAAATCATAAGGATGACATACAATACATCACACAGCATGGCAAATGTAATCACTTACAGTCTGGCTTCTAAGGGGGCCCAACATTTATAAATATTGTAAATTAACATGCATAAAAAGGAGGAAGTCAGAAACCCAATAGTTCTTTGTTTCTCTTTTTTCTTTTCTTTAGTCTCTGGTATTTTAATTGTGGTTAAATTTGTTCTGTTGATCTACTTTTTTCCTTTATTACCAGTACAGAAACCATTCAGTAACAATACCATGGAGATCTTAACCCTGAGTAATCAGTTCAAGATCAAAACCTTTACAGTACAACAAATACTTTGATGCAATCTACAGCGGTTTTTTCTAAGGTTATATTCAATTCTGGATGAAAAAGCTAAATGGTGTCATGGTCAATAACACTGACATCTAAAATTGTAAATAATATTGATATAATACCTCTTTCTCTTTTCTTTATCCCCAATAGTTTAATTCAGTGTTTCTCAACCTTCGCAAGTTTAAGATGAGTGGACTTCAACTCCCAAAATTCCCTAGCCAGCCATGCTGGCTGGGGATTTCTGGGAGTTGAAGTCCACTCATCTTAAAGTTGCGAAGGCTGAGAAATGTTGGTCTAACTTATTGAAAAAGTAGAGGGTTAATAATCTTCAATCAATACTGCATAAATATCACTGTATCAAAACAATATAATGTGTTAAGATCTACAACACCATAATAAAAAAAAAGAAAATCATAAGGATAAGGGCTGGTTTTAAACTTTATAAAAGCAAGTGATGTGCGCAGAGCTTGACCGCATGCATGAGTACAGTCCCGGCCACTATTCTCATCGCACAGATGGAGAAGCAAGGCTGAGGTTTGGCTGTAGGTTATGTGGGAATGGTCCTAGCTGAACCGTCCAGCCTTGGCTTCAGAATAGCTCAGTGCACTACTCACCATTCTGCCCACCCCTCTGCCAGTTCAGTACACCTGAGTGCCACCAGCAGAAAGATACCTAGATCCTTCAACCTATTTTCCACATCACCGAATACCTTTCTTTTTCATCTCATTCCAATCATTATTAATACCAGCTTTCTGAGACTCAACACTCTCCAGGAGTGAAACTCTCCAGGCGTGTGGCATTTTGTACTGTGACGCACTTACAGCTGATTAAGTTGGGAGAAGCTAATCAGTATCTTTCTTAAAGGGTGGAGTGAAGACTTCAGGCAAGGAGGAGGTTCGCAAAATCTCCCAGGGGCAGACCCCTGAGGGCTGATGGGACAAAGAAGGGCCATCCCTGAGCTTTGGATTTGGCTAAGGGGCAACCTATGGTAAGTGGAGCCCTCTTTCTCGTTCTGCAAGGACAATCCCAAATTGGGTGTGGTTGTGTCTTTAGTAAAAGGCAAAAGATGTACACAATCCGAAAAGAAACCAGCCTGTGGTATGGTCTCCATGAGGGAAGCTAGGATTTTTTGTTTTCTCTTTTGTTGGAAGTTTTTTTGCTCTTGTATTAAGCTTATTTTAGGGTTTAAGCTTCCATATTTGCTCATTTCCCACTTTAATGTGGAAAACAACCATGGCAATCTGAATTGGGAAGGCATTCCAGGGACAGCAAGGAAGATGTTCAGGAACTGCTCCTCACCCAATGTGCCTCAGATCTCCTTCCCTGTCTGGGAACCCAGCCACTGTGGCTTTATTCACCCCCACTTAAAAAAAAAAAAAAAAGGATTAGCTTTTTAGGTGGTGAGATGGTATCCCAGGTTTATGGGCTTCCTGGCTGAGGAAGGAGCTGACCTCAGATCCTCTGGTCCCAGCTGACATGAACGGTTCGCAACATGGAAGCAAGGACTAAACATGGCACCTCCACAGCACTCACCTGGAGGTATGTGCAATTTGAAAAGCAGCGTCAGCTTATGAGTAAAACTTCCATGATACATGACGTCTAATAAAAAGGGAGGAAAGGGAAAAAAATTAAAAACAAGGTCATTCAAGAAGGTTCATACCCAATGGAGATTATCAAATGTCCACATCCTATGTCCTCTATCAGCTAGGAACAATTGAAAACTGGCTCCACACTCACTGGATTAATCTAAACCAGCCAGATCTCATGTAGAAAGGGAACTTGTTACCATACCCAAAACAGATGCAAATTCTTTGAAGTTGATCAGGCCGTCAACATTCTCATCCAGTAGCCGGAAGGTCCACAGGGCCAAAGAATCTCTGTTGGCACAGGGTGCCCAAGGACTCAAGAGATGATGCAAGATTCGGAATTGCTGGCAGTCAATCCGATATTGGTCCAGGTAGGGCAGGCTGGCATCGTGATGTTTTAGTGCTGGACTGTTCAGATTCCAATAACAGGAGAGAAAATGTTCTTTCTGACCAAAAAAAGAGGAGGGCCCAAATAAATTATAGCAAAATGTCATCAAATCACATGGGGACAAGGCAATTTTGGGAAAGATAAAATATTTTTTTTCGTATGGTTATCCAGTGCTAAAGCTGAAAACTGCTGACTATGACAGCTCATAACTTTTACCTGTATTTAGACTATGCTATCTCTGAAAGTCCAGAAATGGACAATGCAAAGATGACCAGAAGTTTATTATTAGAGTTATATCCTGCCTTTCCTGGGGATACTTTTCCCCCCATTAATGCATGAGGATCTTCCTTTCTTTCATCCTCATAATAGCAGCTGCTATGAGGGAGCTTGGGCTGAAAGTGAGCAATTGCCCAACTCATCCAGTGAATGTCCACGGCTGATGATGGATTTGAAACAGGGCCTCCTTGCCTTAGTTGATGGCTCTTACTACAGATGACACTGTGGGACTACAAACTAATCTCAAAACATTATTTATTTTTAATTTTAAAAATTGCCAAAGTTTTACAATAGATTTTCATGTTCCTGCCTGAAACCTATGGAGATTTGAGGCAAGAATACCAAAATCTTGCAAGATTTAGTGATCTCACAGACATTTGGCCCTTTCATTTTTTTTTTTTTATAATACCCTTCCCAGGGAACACCTACACTACTTTGTGGACCATCAGGAGACTTACTGGCATGCTGCCTTAGAACCACTATCTGGTAACACATCCATGCATATGATATTCTATACAAGACAGCCAATATTAAATTTAGTTTTGCCTATTCTAGATGGTATCCCAACTACACCAGACTAAAACAGACCTGGCCATGGTGACGTATTCCTTTATATCTTCTTCCTTGACTTTTGTAACATGCTCAACAGTTGCAAGAGTGCCTGAAGAACGCTTGGAATGCCAACTTGTTCAACACACATTAGAAGCTTGCTACACCGTCCCATCTGAAATAGCTACATTGGCTCTTCTGTTTTCAGAATGCCCTAACACTTCAACAGTTCAATGCTCAACTTGCTTGCAATCAGTTCAGCAGGTCAACTTGCTTGATCATTAACTCTATAGAGGTCTAATAAGAGGTCATGACTGTCAAATGGACATGAAGCTCTTTTGCAGATGACAACCAAGATGTTACCTTGAATAATTCATACAGTTCTTCCAGGTTGCTATGGCTGATATTCATATCTTGGGAGATAACACGTAGCTGGGAACAGACAACAGGAAAGCAATCAAGTTGGTATCAGGTGTTATGTTCCTATATTTCAGGTTCCTATTTTCCAGGTTCTCATTTTGAGATGGGTAAATTACAACTTACAAAGGGCTATGAATTGCTTAGTCAAAAAATGTTGAACCTCTGTCTTTCCAATCTATATAGTCCAAATACGACCCTTCAGATGAATTCCCAACTGGCCATGGTTACTGGAATGGTGGGAATTATAGTTCAACATCTGAAGGGGCATAGGTTTTCAATTCCTAGTTTACAAAAATTCTCCAGCAGTGTTTCTCCAGAATTTCAGAGAGTCAGAAATCCTCTCTCACTCCCCAAATTTTAGAACCTAGATTTTAGGGAGTGAACCAGGCTGTACATTTCAACTGATGAATCAAAGTAATTAATAAGTCTTCTAGTTAACTGAAGTCTCTTAGCTAACTGGGTATAAGATTATATCTGTGCTTATAACAACGATACTTAATGATAAATTATGTTCAATACCATGACAGAGCCAGTGACCAGAATCCTGATATAGGCAAACATACTACGTACTCACCACATTCTGCTTTGTTGTGATCTCCAAGGTCTGGATGACGTACAGTCTATTCCGACGTCGCATGCTTTCTACTTCCTCAAATCGGATTTCACCATATTTCTGGAGAAGAGCAAGAAGCTATTTTACTGCTTATAAAGGCTGAATACAGAACATCTAGAGCACAAAACAGCCAACTCCTTTAGTGCTGGAGGTTTCTAAAATCCACCTCCTCCTCCATCATCATCACCACCACCATCACTGCTCCAAACTTTGTGATGCTCATCCCATTAAAATTCTCATCAAATGTTGGTATTCTTATTTGAAGTTCCACACAAAGTCATGGGAGAAAGCCAAACTCTTCTAAGATTTCATACCACAACACACAGTTCTGAGATCCACATTTGGAAGGGTGGCACATACCAACACATGCACACACATACAACTGTCAACTTCTGAAACTGAATAAGTGGTTTTAAGTCTGTAGCTACTGACTTCAGTAATCCTTTTAAGCGAAGTACAGATCATCATAAATGAGAAGTCTTCTCCCACCCAACCTGATTAACTTCGGGGTTAATATTGTTTTATATTCATTTTTGGAGGAAGGCCTTCCACTGCTTTATTTTGCAGGCTACAATACGGCAACTTATTGATTTTTCTTCTAATGCAAAGAAGGAGAAGAAAGTGCTGAACGAACCTCATTTGATTCTCGAATTAAGTCAGTGATGTCCACTCTGGGGTGGGGGTTTTTGCTTTCATTCATCCCAGAGGCCTGTTGTACCGCTGGAGGGAGTGGGCTGTCCTTGTTTGTGACACTCTCAAAAAACCTTGATTAAAGGAGAAGGATGAGGAGAGAAACAGGCATGAGATACAGGGGTTACCTATTCACCCAAGTACTGTAGATTGGCAGAGATGATCTTTCCCCATACAGAGCCTTGGTGGTTATAATGCTCTGCAGATCCAGAACCACACTGATCTGAGCTGGTCATCACACTTAACAATCTAGGCTGATGGTCCATGTATCTTCTAAACCCTGCTCACCAACCTGAGGTTGGGCTGTTTCTCAGGCCAAGAAAACGTATTGGGTGATCTTGACTGGGCATACATGGCCTTTCCCTTTTTATTGCTTTTCATTGTCTTTTTCCTTCTTTTTTAACTATGTAAACAGCCCAGAGCCATTTGGGAGCTCAGCTGCCTTCTAAATCTACATAAATAAGTAGCCCATGCAGCTTCCAGCATGGGATAAGAGTCAGCAGAAGTGTGACAGTGAGCAACAGATGCAAGCATGCGAAATTGCAGACTTAAAGGCAGTTCCAGATAGAGGGCAGGATTGTGGTATGGAATGCCCGTACATTTGTGTGTGTGTGTGTGTGCAAAATCCTTCTCAAAGGCTTACAATTTTGCAAGTTCACAAGTTTAGAACAAAGGCATAAAAGGATGACAAAATCCAGTTAAAAATGCTCTGCTCAGCAGCTGAGTTCTCACTTTGGGATGCTCCAGCAGAGACAATCCAAGGAGGCGTCAGCTACGAACAGGTTCTTTTCTGCAGTTGGGTGAAAGGTTTTCTCCAGAAAACTTCTCTAAGCTCCAACCGTAGCTTTATTCTTTTAAGTCTTGTTTTAAAAAAAGACCCTTAGCTAACTCGACCCTATATTGGTGCTGAACAGAAGAGAACAAGTTAATTTCTTTGATCAGGAGAGTATCCTATGCATTTCTAACTTCTGGTTCATTTCTTCTGTAATTTTCACTGTTTTATTCATGCCTTACTATGGAGGATAAAGCAAACTATGTTCACTGTGAAGAAAGCGAAGTATGTATTAATATGTGTACGCACGCACATCTATATCTATAACATCTATAACATGTATTTTTATATATATAAAAGTTAAAGCTAAAATTGTAACAAGTGCATGCTATTTTTATGTGTGAATGTGTTCACATGCATACATTAACCCCTCTGTGCACACACATATTCCATGCACGCATATTTGCACAATACGTAGCCCAACCCCTTAGCCATAAACACAACCGTAGCTACAATAAACCCACATACCTGTTGAGGACTGTTACAGCTTCTGCGTCGTCCTTGCAAGCCAGCAACTTGTCCATGTTGTAGTCGAGCACCGCCAGGCCCAGCTGCAAAATGGCTTTGATCCCGTCATAGAAAAAGCAGTCGACTACGTTGACGGCACTCTCGATCGGCAGCACGCTGACGAAGAGAGTGAGGAACCAGGAGAGCGAGACGGAGGAAAAGAAAGTCATGTCGGTCGTGTGCTCCGTCAGCTGGGGCAAGTAGTCTCGGATCAGCTCCTCAAACACTGCCTGATCTACTAAGGCACCTGAAAGAGATGTCTAGTTACCGAAATACAAATGCAAATTTATAAAGAAAGGCACATTTGCAGGGTAGACCCATGCTGGCTGGGGAATTCTGGGAGTTGAAGTCCACTCATCTTAAAGTGGCCAAGTTTGGACAACATTGCATTAGGGATTTACCAAATATAAACACAACAAGAGAACTGATAAGACATTAAAAGGAAAACACTCTACAGGTAGTCCTCAGTTAACGACCACTCGTTCAGCGACCATTCAAAGTTACAATGGCACTGAACAAGACAACTTACAACTGGTCCTTGAAGCTGCAGCCATTTCAGCATTCCCACAATCACACGATTGCAACTCAGGCACTTGGCAACTGGCTCACAATTATGATGGTTGCCATTGGTGACCTTCCCTGCCGGCTTCTAACGAGCAAAGTCAATGGGGAAGCTGGCAGGAGGTTGCAAACAGCGATTATGTGACATCGCGCTTAACCACCACATGGGACTTTCTTAACGACAGCAACCAGAACTGCTACAACTTTCGTCATAAGTCAGTTTTATGAACATCGCTTAGCAACAGAGTTCCTGATCCCAATTACCTTCATTAACTGAGGGCTACTTATATTATTATTTTGACAAGTGACATTTGAATTGGAACAGATCTAAGGAAAGCCATATGCCAAATTTAGCATTTTAAGAACAAATTTCAAAATCAAATCGGGAACTGACATGAACAGCCAAGATGATCAGAATTACTGATCCATTTAATAAGAATGTAGTAAGAATGAGCAAGGCTGCACACCCCCATTTCCTACCATCACTCATGAAGGTGATCATTACAGTAAACTCCAACGAAAGCAAAACCGTACCGATGATTCGGCGATTGAAATAATCAGGTAGCATCCTTTCGCAGACGGCTACCAAAAGCCAAAATGCTTCCTCTTCTTTGGCATAAAGGAGCAGCACCGACGTCAATATATTCATGGCCTTTAAACAAACATGTATATTATTATTTGCTTGGCCTTCAGTCCTTTCAATGAAACCTAGCTGATATTATGTTTCTGCATCAATGACTATTACCACCACAGGGCAGCTAAGGTATTTTTGAGAAGACCTGCGTGAGAACACATGTAACAAATCACCATTTGTCACAATGACCCATATCTTTTTTTCGTGCCGCATGTGTACTATGTGAGTTAGGAGGAAGAAAAAAGGAAGGAAGGAAGGTTGGGTGATAGATTGGTGTCCTTCAAAAAATAAGCACATGAGGAAGCATTAGTGGTTGTAGGCAGAGAAAAGAAGAGATCAAGGGATAATTTTGGGTGAAGATGTTGGATAAAGACCAGGGAGAGTCAGATTCAATGCCACCTTCAGCCATGGAGACACCTTGGGTAACTTGAGGTCCATTACTTTCTTTCAGCCCAACCTACCTCACTGGGCTGTTGTTCTGGGGAAAACCTGGGGGAGGAAGTCCTATCTATGATGCCTTGAGATCCCGAACGAAAGGCAGGATAGAAATCTAACCCATCATTTCACTACGTTAGACGATTAGCAGGAGCTGAGTGAGGGAACAGATGCCACCAAAAGGGACAAAGCTGAGGGTTTTCTGTTCCACTAAAAACGTGGCAGAGGATCCATAGATACAAGTTGTTGATGAGTTTTGTGTTCAGGCACAAACCCCTTTAAGCAAACCAAATTTCAGAGCTGCCACTGTTTTTGTGAGAAGGAACCAAGTCAATCTCCAGCAGCCACAAGAAAAAGAATTTCATGGGGAAAGTCAAGAACACTTCTCTAAACCCTGGAGGTGAAACACTGCAACCGGAACCCTTCTGAGGCCTCTCAGATTTGTACACGTACTATAATGAAACACATCCACACCCGCACACAAATAAAGACGCCAAGCTGTGGTTTGGACAACGTAAGCAAAGCTGGAGTCCAGCAGCACAGCCTACCTGGCAATAGCCAATCTTGGGGTTCCTGTAGGCATAGGCAGTGAGGACCCGTCGGAGGGCAGAAATGCCCGTGTCGCTCTGGAACGCGGGATGCTCTGGCAGCGAGCGGCGCAGATCCCGCTCGATTTCGTCCGTCTCCAGGGTGCACGTGCCAAAAGATTGGTCAACCAGTTCCGAGTAATAGCCGGGGTGGCTTGCCATGTCGTTTACAGCACCTGCCCAGGGGTGTAGTGCACACAGAGGAGGAGGAGAAAGACTGCTGCCATGTGTCTTGAGCGCTAGAGCTTTGCAAAGCTGCACAGACAAGTCTGCTCAGATAGACTCAGAGCTGATCTTGCCCGTGAAAGTGCCTGACATGGACTCCCTGCAGAGGCTCCTGTGGTAAGAGGAGTGCACTGCCCAACTGTGAACTCCAGAAGCATTCTTGGGGGATGCACAATCAAGGTTTACCCCCCAACTCCTTTTCTTAGGAGGTTCCCCTTGTTTTAATCATGGTAGCAGTGGTTCAACACTTGTCAGCCCTTTGAGGTAGTCCAGATATGAAGCCCAAACCGTGAGTACTAACACATCCTTTATTGTAAAGTTACAGTAACAGAATCTTGCAAGTCTGAAAGCACTTCTCCCCTCCTTTACTTTTACTTTCCAGAAAACTAAGGAGGGTACCTCTGAGAGGCTTCCCATGCCCCCTTTCCTTTGGTGGACTCAGATACCTTTTGCATGACAGTTGTCTAGGCTGTGGCTCTTCCTCCTGTCTCCCAAGGTCATTCCCGCATACCATTATGACATTTTTACAAAACCACCTAGACAATCTTGGCTACTGATCACAGAAAGCTA